TTTTACCAAGCCAACGCACTGGAGTGGGTGTGAGAGTGCCAAACTCTTCCCAGTGAACCAAACGCAGCCGGACCAAAGGGAGCCTCTCTGTGCTCCTTTTCTGAATCTGTGTGTAAGTCACAAATCGCCCCGGATGAATGGCCCTCGGCAGTGGCCCACACCAACTGCGACTGGTGAACTGAAGCTTTTCTACACCTCCATGCACAGTGACATCAAATGGGCCTTGTAAAACATCTGAACTATTACACAGAAAAACCTGACAGAAACTATTTTAATCTTGAATGGAAATAATCACCCGAGAAGAGCCTTGGCAAATCACCTTCAGTATTCTATGAGGAAAGTGGAAACAGCTCCTGCCTATAAACTCTATACCAAAACACTACTCTGTCCGCTGCCCGGGGCTGAATGGGAGACAGGATAGACCTCAAGGCACGGGAGTGGCAGCTCTGGACACTGAGCCCACACCTCATAAAGCATTCCCATGAAGCAGGAGGAAAAGACAGTAACCGGCTTTACAAATATGCCCCCCTTGCCCTTAAAACTTGGACTGCTCCCCTTGGCGACAGAGTTCAAGGTACCGCCCCTCTGCCTACCCGCTGCAACTCTCTGAGCACCAGGCCACGCTGGCCACCCGCAGCCCTGAGAGGGCAGGACTTGGCCGCGGGCTTCTGAGGCACTTACCTTCCCAGTGTCCTCTCCTGGCACTCTGGGTCTCAGGAAGTGGTTCTTTTCAGCCCCAGAGGTGCTGGGCACTTCACTGCCCTTCACAGGAAAATCTAGCTTCCTCAGCCTTTGTGCCACCACTAGAGATACAGACAGTGGTGCTGTAACTGTCCCTGACCAGGGCACATCCCTTCCAAGCCCACCTGTACCTCCTAGCCGGGATGCCCTCAAGTTATTCGAGGACTGAACAGGGAACCCCAGCAACCTATGAGGGCAAGGGCACCTGGGCAGGAGAAGCTGGTTCAACTCAGGACCTTGCCTAAGGTGCTTTCTTTCCTTCAGGAGCCCTACAAAGTGCCACCCCACTGGGCCTTACAGTGCCCAGCTCGGGGCTTCCCCATGCCTTGGTTACTAACAGGCTGCAGAGCCGCGACCAGACAGAAAAGACCCAGATCCTTCCAGAGTTAATACTATCAGCTTAAGAGAACAACTCTGGAGAAAGAATGACTCGGCTTTTCTACACAATGAGTAATTAAACGCTTCATCCTCCAGAAGATTTCCATCTCAATTGAACATTATGTAATTTCCTGAAAACAGCAGGCTTGTGGAGGCAAACAGGGGATAGTGGGGCTATTCTAGGTACAGAAAAGGATGAGACATGTGAGGGGATAGGAAAGAGGGGCAAGGAAGTGGATGGAAACAGGAATCCTGGAGACTCTAAAGGAAACAATTACATAACGTCAGACGGCAATCCCCGATCTGTGACGGCAAGAACATGAGGTGACAGGGCCGTTCTCCCTCTATAGTTTTATATCCAGGCAGCCAAGAAATAAAAGCCTTTAAGATAAGAGTGTCACAATAAAGAAAAGTCAGAGGAATTTAAGTAAAAGGCAAGAAGCGAGGACAAAGCGCCCAATTTGATTGGCTGGCCTGCCAAGCCATCCTAGGGGGATGGAACCAGTGTGATTTCTACAGGAAAGTATCAGACTTTCAGCTTAGTGACAACACAGTGGTTAATAAAAGAACAAAACAGCAACAAGACAGCATTAACACAGCTTAACCACTGGGTCAGGAGTGACAGATTTGTTTTCCCTGGAGGTCTATGCAGGCAACTCAGATGCTTTGATAAGAGAGTTCAAAGGTCAGGCTGCTGTCTCTGTTAAGTCTGACATTATCCAGCAAAGACCCCCTAGGGCCCTGCATCACGGTGGCCAAGCATTGGTATCTCTGTGAAGAGGGATGCCCATGACTTCAACAAGGCCTCATCAGACACCACATAGTAACCTGTCTTTTCTTATGAAACTAGATGCATCTTCAGGCTCACATCTTCTTGGCAGCACAGATGGAAAAAGAAACAAGATCTGGTCTCTCAAGCCTGTGAGGGTTCCACACAAATTGTAGAAAGAAGCGCTAGGTGAATTCCACGGTGGCTAAGACATTTGTATTGGGAGAGGCTGACTATGCTGGGCCTCTGCATTACCTCCCTAGTCAACCACAACTGATGTGAATGTCCTAGGATGAGAAACGACAGTGACATCTGCAAGGGGCCATCAGACAATTCCACACACAGCTGCTGCCTAGGCCAGGAGACTGGACAACCACCACACCAATCTGACTTCCTGAGAGCAGAAAAATCCTTGTGTCAGTGAGAAAATGAGACACAATCTGATCTGGGATGACCGTTCCATGCATGCAACACGCCAGCGGGCAGGTTTTAGAAATTCACTCACAGACACATTTTTATTGAGCACCTGTTATGTACATCACTGTTCCTGATGATACAGCAGAAGACAAAACATAAAAGTCCTTGCCTTTACAGAACTCCTAGAGTGTGAAATCAAGACAGGAAAACTAATCCATGGATGAAATGAATCAAAGAACAATTCCTCTAAGAGTTAAGAGGAACAAAAAGGATTCCCTATTGCTTATGTTAGAGAGAAACAATGAAACCCTAAGGGTGGCCCTCAAAAGACCCAGCTGAGCTCCTTGACCCATGGTTGAACAATCAAGAGCTCACTGTCTCTCCCTTAAACAGTCCTAGGGCAGAAGGTCTACGCACAGGGCTCCTCAGGAAGATATACAGCCTCTTAATTCTATCCCCAAACCACTGGCATATCCAACCAAAGAGTAAAGCAATGGTCCCAACGCAAATTGTTTTAAGAATCTAAAGCAGTGGTTCTCAACCTGTGGGTCCCGACCCAGAGGAACTGTATTAAAGGGTTGCAGCATAAGGAAGGTTGAGAACCACTGACTAAAGTTTCTCACGTATGAAATGCAGGTCATAAAAAATGAAGAACCACAAAACTAAAATTTAAAATGTTTATAGTATAACAGTTTAAAATGTTAAAATGAGAACGTAGAAAAAAAATTTTTTCTTAGAAAAATATTTAATCCTTGGCCTAAAGTCATAAAATAAAAACTTACTATAAGGTAATTTGGCAGTTTAAAATATAGGCGGATAATCTCTGGTTTTAAATTTCCATTCTAGGCCTGGCGTGGTGGCTCACACCTATAATCCCAGCATGGGGGAAGCTGAGGCAGGTAGATTGCCTGAGCTCACAAGTTCAAGACCAGCCTAAGCCAGAACGAGATGCTGTCTCTAAAAATAGCCAGGCACCCGTTGTACCAATTACTTGGGAGGCTGAAGCAAGAGAATCACTTAAGCCCAAGGGTTTGAGGTTGCTGTGAGCCAAGACACCACGGAACCCTACCGTGGGTGACAAAGTGAGACCGTCTCAAATAAAATAAAATAAAACAAATTTCTTTTCTGTTTTTCTAAGGTATAACAAACCTGAAAGTACAGTAGAATCTCTGTAAGTTGACCACCCTAGGGACTGTAACAAACTGGTCAACATACCAACGTGGTCAACATTAGGACCTATGCCCACTGTCCTGATCTGATACATACATGTGGTGCATGTCTTGTCTATGAAAATTAGGTCAACTTAAGGAGGTGGTCAGTGTTGGGAGGATGTCCACTATGGAGGTTCTACCATATTTAGTTAACTTGGTTTTATGTAATTATTTAATGCACAAAGTTTTATATGAGTCTTTGGACCTTTAAAAAACAAAACAGAGCTGGCTAGATTTAAAAGAGGTTGTAAATGAATCAGCAATTCAGCAATCAGCAATGCAAAAACCAAAATGAAAACAAGCAAACTACATAACAAGATGCATGAGAGAGAAATATACCACAGTAAAATCTCATTACCTAAAACTCATTAGGGGTAAGTCAGTTTGAATAGGTGAAAAATATAAATTTTTTTTTAAATGTTTAAATTCTCCACAAAATACACACTATATATGAAGGATAAAGAGCAAATTGAATGTATCTTTTAAAAAAGTGCAGCCTCCCAGAGATTCTCCTGGAAGGCCTTATAATATGATTGAAAAGACTGGTACTTAACATATCACATGGTAAATGGGTGCTTTGTAAAGAGGGCTTTTTTAAAACTATTTAAGCAGTTCAAATGGCTTCCTTTCATACTATTAATTTGCTTCAGTAATTTCCTCAGCTTAACTCATTATCTTAAATTTCAGAATTAATGAGGTTTTACTATAAAGTAGAAAAACAAATACTTCAAATGATAAGATTCCAGCATCACCCATACTTATAGCAATTAAACTTCAGTTTGGAAAGCTATTGTACAGTGCAGCAAAGTCCAGATGTTAATACCGCTGAGAACAGAACCGAGTGGAGTAGAAATCTACTCGGTATTATACCTGCGGCTCCTGTACACATTGGAAATTTAAACCTATGCTCTTACAATGAAAGACAGAACTACTGCTTATTAAGAAATACTAAAAGTGAAAGTTTCAAAGGAAAGAGAGAAGTGTTTTTGACAGTCACAGTGGTGAGCTGCTGAAATTCACTAGGTGAATAACACTAGGTGTTAACATCACACATTAGCAGCAAGAAGCACCCACACTTCAGGTTTCCGAATGACATGATTACAGTCAAAATCAAGCAAATAAAACCCAAAACAACCAATACATTAACCCTGAGTTTCCACATTCCCATCTCGTGACACTGATGTACACCATCATAGTCCAGGACAATGTGGCTTTCACTATAGTCAAATCTTGACGATAGACCATTTATAAAGTAAGTTATTCTAAACATGTACATTTAACTATGGAATGATGGAGAGGCACACAGAAATATGTAAACATCAAGAGAATCACTCCACTCCACGTCTGGGTCCAAACTTATCCAGGCTCTATCCAGATATTAAGTGGCTGGGGCCTGATTAAACAGTGAGGATGCAGGAGCCCCAGTGGTGCCAGACAAAGCAGGACACAATCAAGAGATGACTGTACCAAGTGTCAGGAATTGATCAATAAAAATGGCTTAAATAATTATCCCAACAAGGAAGATGAGTAAAAAACAATCCCATTTCATCTTCAGAAAGAATCAAGTCACTGAAATTTGATTTCTTCTAAGTTGTCGCCATTTGCTTGGATGAGATCTTGAAGGTTTTCCACATTTTCTCCACCCAGTTTAAGAACACAATGTCTAGAAATCTGTGATAAGAACTTTGTAAAGGCTTTTCCCCTCATGTTCCTCATTATGCCAGTGCAAGAACTGGAAAATTCCAAACAAAATCAGGTTAGTGGTACAGAAAGTTCATAAACAATCTATGTGAATATTAAGCCCAAGAACAGTGATCCCAAAGCATGCGACTAAGAACTTCTCATTGCAGTCATTTTCTTTACTCTGCCAAACTAGAAGTTAAACTTCAAAAACTGATTTAAATCCAAACTAAAAACTGCTTTTACCAATAATAATCGTCATCCTACCCAGTCCTAGACACGGAACTGAGAAGGTGGCCTGCTCACTTATCAGAGAATGGTGGGCCAAGAAGGTTCTAACAAAGAGGGCGCCAGCATTCCAGGAACTCCTCCCCCTCCCTGTTTCCCATAACACCACCCTGCCCGCTTTAGCACCACTCACATGATAAACATAAATCTAAGTTAACCAGAACAAAAGGTGCAAGGCAGAAAACAAAAATACATACCACTTATAGCTTCCTGTGCGAAGTATTTGACATCCATGTCTTCATCCTGACCTAATTTCTGTAGTACTGGCTTCACTTCCCCCTGCAAAGCGCTGAAATTCAAAAATATTACCTGTGAAAGACAGTCTAGTGGGCCAGACAAATCCTTTATGGTATATAGATTTTACCATATCCTCTATGGTAATTTTTTAAGTGTAAAATTTTTAAAAATTTTTTAAAACACTTACGAACTTTGCAAACATACAAAATAATTTCTAAAGAAGTTCTCTTGCTCAGCACCTGAAGCTCAGTGGTTAGGGTGCCAGCCACATACACTGAGGCTCATGGGTTCATAACGGGCCCAGGCCTGCTAAACAAAGACAACTACAACAAAAAAATAGCCGGGTGATGTGGTGGACGCCTATAGTCCCAGCTACTTGGGAGGCTGAGGCAAGAGAATTGCTTAAGCCCAAGAGTTTGAGGTTGCTGTGAGCTGTGACATCACTGCACTCTACCCAGGGCAAAGCAGGAAGACCCGGCCCAAAAAAAAAAAAAAAAAATGGGCCGTGCCTGTGGCTCAGTGAGTAAGGCGTTGGCCCCATATACTGGAGGGTAGCAGGTTCAAACCCAGCCCCAGATAAACTGCAACAAAAAAATAGCTAGGCGTTGTGGCAGGTGCCTGTAGTCCCAGCTACTCCAGAGGCTGAGGCAAGAGAATCGCCTAAGCCCAAGAGCTAGAGGTTGCTGTGAGCTGTGTGACACCACAGCACTCTACCAGGGGCAATAAAGTGAGGCTCTGTCTCTAAAAAGAAAAAAAAAAAATTCCTCAGCAACTGGTTTCAAACAGTGATCTACACAAATACAGAGCTTACACAGAAAGTCAAGAGTGGATGTCACCAAACATGGTGGCCAATTTACTTTATTATTTTCTTTAAATAAACCTACATCTTAGGTAAAGTGAAAATCACTCAGCTTAATTTTTGCTATTACTCCCCCACTACAAGGTAAAAGCTAAAATATACTTTTAAAATAACACTAAATATACTTTTAAAATAACCCTGAAATCTTACTTGGTGTCCAGAATTGGCCCAATTTTTTGTAGGGATTTGGCCACATTGAAACGAACATTTGCTACTTGGTCTCCTGCCATTTTTAACACAATGGGCAGCATTTGTTTAGTGGTTATTTCCTGACCGCAGGGTTCAGACAGTGCCTAGAAAAATAAATAAGATGGCACATTTTAAAACTCATTATTTTTAAAAAATCTAAGAATCTGATAAGACAAATCAATATTTAATAAATAAATGATGAACAGGAAAATATTTCTAGTTTGAGCATCCAAATCAAGGCAGAAAGAAGGCAAGAATCAGACCAGAATTCACAAGCAACCACAGCTGTGAAATATCACCGTAGGGTAATATGGATTTTAAAATGGACATTTGCTCTCATCCCCTATCTAAATTAATCCGTCTAAGAAATATAATCCAAAGAGAAGACAGAAATTGTTAATAATTACTTTAATGCCCGAGCTTAGCAGGAACAGCTGTGTTATACTTACATTGATGCAGAATAAAGTGGTCATTCTATGCAAGTAATTAGGATCGTTTGCCATCACTAACACTTTGGGAACGATGGTATTTTGCGCCCACTCTGTACCAAACTTCTGAACTAGTTTCATGAGGTTGTTGGTGGCAGCTTCTCGGATGGCATATACTGCAGAAGAGGTCAAAAACAGTCTCACATTGCTTATTGCTTTATAAATATAACCTAGTTTACTTACATCAGCATCAAACATAGACCAAAAACAAAACCTGTCTGCAAACACTCCACATGAAATCACACTGCAACGCCAAGCATGCTCACCCACAATGCAGAATATACTAATTTGTTGTTAAAGTTTCAAAATGTGTACGTCCAAGGAAAGAGATCCAAAGAGCTCATATATGCATCACCGCACTTACTGTGTGCTACTTCTTATAGAAAGAAAACAGACCAGATATAGTGGCTCACGCCTGTAATACCAGAACTCTGGGAGGCCAAGGTGGGAGGAACGCTTGAGACCAGCCTGGGCAACATGACAAAACCTCATCTCTATAAAAAATAACAAATTAGCCAAGTGTGGTGGCATGCACCTATAGTCCCAGGTATTTGGGAAGCGGGGAGGGGGGCGTGGGGAGAGGGGGAGAAGGCAGATTCCTTAAGCCTAGGAATTGGAGGTTACAGTAGATATAACTGATACCACTCACCCTAACCTGGGAGAAAGAGCAAGACTCTACTGCAGTGGTTTTCAACCTTCCTAATGCCGCGATCCTTTAATACAGTTCCTCATGTTGTGGTGACCCCCAACCATAAAATTATTTTCGTTGCTACTTCATAACTGTAATTTTGCTACTGTCATGAATGTAAATATCTGACATGCATGATATATTTTCATTGGTAAAAGGGGTTGTGACCCACAGGTTGAGAACCGCTGCTCTACTGGGTGCAGCGGCTTACCCCTATAATCCTAGCACTAGCACTCTAGGAGGCTGGGAGTTCCAGACCCGCCTGAGTAAGACCAAAACTCAGTTCCTACTAAAAACAAAAAAATTAGCTGGGCATGGTAGCACTGAGAACAGTGAACAGGGAGGGTCTGGGAAGTGTTCAGGAAGGAATCAGGCCTAGCACTGGGCACTGAAGACTCGGGGGACTTGCAAAAAAAGAAAGAAGAGGGGAGAGATCCCTGGAAAGGGTAAAATATACCCAGGACACAAAGGAACAACCTGAAATCTGTAAGACTTCAAGGTAAGACAACTGTCTGTAGATATAGACCACAGAGTATCTTGAAAGCTAAACTTAGATCTGGTAAGAAAAACACTGATGGGTTTTTAAAATAAACTTGTGACCCAATGACCAGTGTGGTATTTCAGCAAAATTATTCAAGCAGCATCAAGAAAACCACTGAGAGGAGAAAAAGAGGTCCAGGATATGACGTAGAGGCCACTGTGGTCACCTACACAACGGCAAATTAAAACTCAGGCCAACTTGCTTCTCCATTAAAAGACAAGATGCCTGGCTCAGCGCCCATAGCACACTGGATACGGCACTGGCCACATGCACCAAGGGTGGCAGGTTCAAACCCAGCCCAGACCAGCTAAAGAATGACAACTGCAAAAAAAAAAAAACAGCCAAGCATTGTGGCAGGCACCTGTAGTCCCAGCTACTTGGGAGGCTGAGGGAAGAGAATCACTTAAGCTTAAGGGCTGGAGGTTGCTGTGAGCTGAGACACCACAGTACTCTACAGAGGGCAACACACAGTGAGACTCTGTCTCAGAAAAACAAAAAAAAGACGTCCTGCCATGGGCGATAAAGTGAGACTCTGTCTCTACAAAAAAAAAAAAAGGGTGGCACCTGTGGCTCAAAGGAGTGGGGCGCCAGCCTCATATGTCAGAGGTGGCAGATTCAAACCCAGTCCTGGCCAAAAACTGAAGGAAAAAAAAAAAGTCAAGATGCCAAATGTCTTCTGTGAATAAATGTACCTTAACATCCAATAATTCTCTATGAGATCATTTATCAAAGGTAGGATAAATCTAGATAATAAACATCTGAGCTACTATCTTCTTGAAACTAGTTGTGATATAAGCAGTGAACAAAGACAAGTCTGTTGTCACTTCACAGATCCAGTGAGACTCAATAGGATTTCAATAAATTGAGACTTGTATTCTACTTCTCTCACCAGGTGGCCCAATCCTACTGGATTACCAGTAAGGGCAGGAATAACTATCCACAGTCCCAATCCCAGACAATGTATACAAGCCTCCAGATGAGAAATACGCAGCTTTCCCCAGTCCATGGATCCTTCTGGGCAATGACGCTGAGAAAAGGCAAGACAGCATAGATGGTGAACAACACAGCTTATTACAGTCCAAGCAAAACATCAGCTGTCAGCAATACCCAGAAGCAGCAAGGAGCAGTGAAAGCCGTTTATGTGTGACAGAGATTCTTCCCTTCACATCCAGGCTCTTTGTCTGTGACCCGACTCCCATTCCCTCCTCCTAGACAGAGCTAGCTAAAGCATTTGTATCTTCTCCTCTAATTAGTAACTATTTTTTAATACACTTCTGCTTTTTTTCATCATCATTCCATTAGCATGGCAAGGGAGCCACTGCCAGAGTAGCCACACACAGGCTCAGCCTTGACCAAGGCCTTAGCTGCACTGAACTCCACTTGGCCAGATGCCTACTATGTTCTTGGCTCCTCTTAATTCTGCTGTCAGAAGAAATAATGCAAATCCTTCCACAGTTCTGCCTGTTTTCTCTCCTTGTTTTGCCTTTGTGTGTGTGTGTCTCTCTCCTTTTCTCCCCTCAAGGTCCAACCGATGAGCAAGGTTTCTCTGAACGTTCACCTCACTGTGTTCACTACTTTCATGCTTTCTCCTTTGTCCTCTAAAAAATAAATTCTCCTGGTTCGGCACCCATAGCACAGTGGTTATGGCACCAGTCACATACACTGGGGCTGGCAGGTGAATCACCTGAGCTCAGGAGTTGGAGAGCAGCCTGAGCAAGAGCGAGACCCTGTCTTTAAAAAATAGCTGGGCATCATGGCAGGTGAACTATAGTCCCAGCTACTCGGGAGGCTGAGACGGGAGGATCTCAAGCCCAAGAGTTTGAGGTTGCTATGAGCTGTGACGCTACAGCACTCTACTGAGGGTAACAAAGTAAAACTCTGTCTCAAGAAAATAAATAAATAAAATAAATAAAAGTCTTAATCTAGAATCTAGCTTTCAAAAAATACAGAATGATACATTGGGATGTACCATTTCCACTAACTACCAGAGGCACTAAAAAAGTACATACACATTTTAAGAGAACTTGTTGGAAGTAAAATCAATCATTATCAAAAGTAGACAAAGTGTAGTAAAATAGATGTGCATAGCTTGTCTAAGAACAAGTGACCAGCAATGGTACCTTCAATTCAACTTTGAAAATATACACATAACATCTCATAAAATGTGTATAGGTTTTTTTGGTACCCTTGTATTTATCAGAAATAATATAAACTTTTTTTTCCCAGAAGACTTTCTTTCCTATGATTTGCCAACTTTAAGTTTATTTAAAAAGAAAAAAACATGGCTCGGCACCCGCAGCACAGTAGTTATGGCGCCAGCCACATAACACCAAGGTTGGTGGGTTCGAACCCAGCTGGGCCAGCTAAAACAACAATGACAACTGCAACAAAAAATAGCTGGGCATTGCAGCAGGCACCTGTAGTCCCAGCTACTTGGGAGGCTAAGTCAAGAGAATCACTTAAGCCCAAGAATTGGAGGTTGCTGTGAGCTATGACACCATGGCACTCTACTCCATGGTGACATAGTGAGACTCTATCTCAAGAAAAAAAGAATAAAAGCTATAAAAAGGTAACTTTAGAGAAGAATAAAGCCTTCACCATCTATTTTGGAAACACTGGAAGCATTCACATATTTTTTCCACACCCTCCTTTTCACACTCTCTTAATCATATGATCTCTCATATGATCCAAATAGGCCTTTAACAAAACCACCTATAAGCATAAGCAGACACAAATATCCACATTCCTCCCGAGTATGCAGACACAGCACCCACAGATGAACAAAGACGACACTCAATACATAAAGCAAGCATATACAAGATACCAGGGAGCTGAGACAAGATATTCATTGTGTCCGCCAAAATATGGCACCAACACTCAAGGACAGCGTCACATGAGTGCCCAGGAGCATTCATCACAACAGGCCCCAAAGCTACACTGAAGCTGCCAAGTCTGGACCTGGGACCTGGTGCAGAGGGTACGTCCTCCACCCACTGCTGGCTGTTAGACAAAGAGAGGATATATGCCTACACATCTACCCAGACCTCAGCAAAGTCACCCTCATTCCTACATGACCTCCCTGAACCCACACCCTCCTGCCATCAAGCAGTAGTCAGGATGCAAGCAGGAAGCCTTCCTCTCACCAAAGCCAGAAACCCGGGCCCTCTCTGTCCTAGGGCACAGCTGATGTCTGCCACACCTAAGAATCCTATAATGTCCCACTCTACACCTCCTTCTCGGTGTCTCCTCCAAAAAGCCAAGTAGCCATTGCTTTCCTCCTTGGCTTTTCATCTGATCCCAATCCCTGTCCAACCTCGTTTATAGTTGCTGAAGGCACCCTTTACATGGTCAAATGTGATCCTGGAACAAGAAGCCAACAGGTGCATAAAGGGAACAGTGTGGTAATAATGGGATAGACTAGAAACCGGGAAAAGAGACAGTCTCATAGACATAAATAAAATAAAACTGAAGATTCAAAAACCCGGTAGAGGCTTGGCACCTGTGGCTCAAATGGATAAGGCGCCAGCCACATACACCTGAGCTGGCAGGTTGGAATCCAACCCAAGCCCGCCAATGATGGCTGCAACCAAAAAATAGCTGGACATTGTGGCTGCAACCAAATAATAGCTGGGAGTTGTGGCAGGTGCCTATAGTCCCAGCTACTTGGAAGGCGGAGGCAGGAGAATTGCTTGAGCCCAGGAGTTGGAGGTTGCTGTGAGCTGTGATGCCAGTGCACTCTACCCAGGGCGACAGCTTGAGGCTCTGTCTCAAGAAAAAAAAAAAGCCTGATAGAAACATCAAATTTGTATTCTAAAGACTGGACTTTCAGGTCAAATATCTGGTTATATTGGGACATATGCAAAAACAGGCATTCCACAATAGTCTATTTTTAATTTGTCTACTCACCATGGTCCACAAGCCAGGCCATACATAAAGAATTCAGCTTTTCATCAAAGAATTCCACACCCTATGGATATAGAAGATTCTATTAATTTATATCACTGAAGTTCAGAAACCAAGACGGTCTATCTGTGTTACAGCAAGGTTACCTGAAGGCTAAAAAACCTTGTTTCCAAAATAAGCTGAATTATGAAACAGCCAGAAGAAATATGATTAGATTTACAAACAAACTATAAATCTATTTTATTGGACAGGATCACAGACAAAGGGAAATAAAAGTGAGGTGGCACCACCCTGCTCAGCAGGGTGGCCAGAACTCAGATACGATACTGCCAAGCAGTATAAGGACGCAGAGAGGATGGCCCACCACATCTGTACTGTTAAGAATGAATTACTCAGGAAAACCTGAGTAATTACACCTGTCAGTAACATTGGTTAATATTAGGTTATTAAGTAAGAAATGGCCAATTCCTTAAAGTACTAAGTTTGACAGCTGATATCTCTGACATTTCACTTTGACCCTTTTCTTTAATTGTGAAGAGACAGCCTCGTTCTTTCAAATGCATGTTTTGGCTTGTGATTACCTTAAAAAAATGTTTCTTACAGAGCAATGTTTGTGAAACCATGGGTAAGTCAACCTGGGTCTTTATTGGGGGTGGACTGTGAGTCCCATCGTGGAACCAATGTAGCACACAGGCTGAAATACCACCAAAGTGGCTGAGAAGGACGTGTCCAAAGAAAGCACAGTAGGTGGATGGTTTGAGAAATTCCATTCTAATGATTTTGATCTTTTTGTGTGTGTGTATGAGACACAGAGTCTCACACTGTTGTCCACACTAGATTACCATGGCGTCAGTCTAGCTCACAGCAATCTCAGACTTCTAAGTCTAAGCAATCCTACTGCCTCAGTCTCCTGAGTAGCTGAGACTATAGGTGCCCACCACAATGCCCAGCTAATATTTCTATTTGTAGCAGAGATGGGGTCTCAGTCTTCCTCACACTGCTCTTGAACTCCTAAACCCAAGTGATCCTCCTGCATCGGTCTCCCGGAGTGCCAGGATCATAAGCATGAGCTACCACACCCGGCCTTGGTGATTTTAATCTTGAAAATAAGCCACATGAAACCAAGGGGAAATATAGCCCAAGAAGGGGAAAGGGGACATGGAGGGGGAGGATGGGTGGAGAGAGAGTCGTTGGTGGGATCACACCTACGGTGCATCTTACAAGGGTACATGTGAAATTTACTAGGTGTAGAATATAAACGTCTTAACACATTAACTAAGAAAATTCCATGAAGGCTATGTTAACCAGTTTGATGAAAACACTTCAAACTGTATATAAAACCAGCACATTCTACCCCATGATGCAGTAATGTACACAGCTATGATTTAATATAAAAAAAAAAGAAAGAAAGAAAGAAAATAAGCCATGTGGACGGCCTGAGACCAAGGCAGATGATGATGAGCTGAAAGCTGTACTGAAAGCAAATCCATCTGAACCTGTGCAGGAATTAGCAGCAAGGTTTGATATTGTTATTCCAATACTATTAAACCATCTGAAACAAACAGGCAAGGTAAAGACGCCGGATAGATGGGTTCTGCACGAATTAAACAAGTGTCAGAAGAGAAATCGCCTTGAAGCTTGCCTTTCTTTGCTGTCACAACATAAACGTGAACCGTTTCTAAACTCTATTGTTATATGTGACAAAAAAATAGATTCTGTCTAACAGTCAGTGATCAGCACAATGGTTAGATAAAGATGAAGTGCCAAAACAAGGTCTAAAATGGAAAAATCATCAAAAAAATATAACGGTGTCTGTTCAATGGTCTGGCACTGGTGTTACCCACTATAGCTTCATGAAAACATGATCAGTCGATTACAGCGATGTCTACTGCAACCAAATGGACAGTATGATGAGGAGGCTTGCGATTAAGCTGCCAAGACAAGCTATTCCTCTCGCAAGAGAACCATGTCTCACAAACAGTGCTGCTCAAACTACAGAAGCTGGATTTGGAAACTCATTCACCATACTCACCAGACCTCATACCAAGTAACGAACACGTCTTCCAGGCTTTAGAACACTTCTTGCGAGGAAGAATACTTGATTCTCAACAAGCTATGGAAAATAACTTCTGTGATTTCATTGCTACCCACCCTCCAGGCTTCACTGCTGGCATACACAAGCCACTGTTAAGATGGCATAACTGTGTTGATAGTTTAGGCACGTATTTTCATTCATTTTGTTGCTTGTTTGAGATATAATAAACTTTTAACTCAAAATCAGACATTTCAGATTTAATGACCTAATATATAACAAATCCTTAAGGATAAAGCAACTGACGTCAAGACACAGAAACCTCCCCAATTAAAGAGTGTTTCTGGGATAGTGGGATAAAACCCTGGAGGGAGAGTAGGGCACCCTCAAGGAGAACAGGGGAAGCAGCCTCAGATGGAGTCACAGGTGGCGCAAGGCATCACAGGGAACCTACATGGCTGTCCCAGCCCTGCTCCTTCTGACTGTCAACAGGTAGCCACTTCGGGCTGGACTTACACAGACTTCTCATCGCTGGCGGCGCAGCACGTGGGTGAACACTGTGGTATGTATGTTCCTCACACCCTTCCCAGGCTGTACGTGTTTACAGCCTTGCTTCTTTGAATTCTAAGTTCCTGATCAGTGATTATTTATTTTAAATGAAGTGATATAATAAAATGTTGCAGTCCTTCAAAAGTAGTGACAGCTTTATAATAACAGATCACAATGGATAAATTTTGCCACACACTTAGATTACCATGTCTAAGAAGCTCTCAAAGACTTCTTTTTCAGGTGGAGGATTTTTCCTTCAGTCTTAATAAACTTTTATTTTCCAGTGTTTGTGGCTTAACTTCCTATTTACTCACCACGGTCCTCAAATCAGGCTATATACATAAGGTCTTGAGAGAATTTTATAAATACGACTGCTAGAAAAATTTTTACATACACAGAAAAAATAAAAAGAATACATACCAAGAGGTTCAATTGTAAAACAAAATGTTCATGACCAAGGCACATTCCCCACCAGGCAGTAATAAATCAGCCAAAGGCATCACCCAGCTTGCTTCCACTCTGCTCTGGAGAGCCAGCAACCCTTGGGGATTTTCCAGGTCTAGAAGGCACACAGGTTGAAAGAAATGGTACTGAAACCCCCTCCTTTCAGGACATTTGTCTCAGTCTTCAGCACTGAGATCACTGCTGCCTTCCATGGAGGCTTGATCCATGACAGCCACAGTGAAGGGAAAAGGGCCCACAGCATTAGGGAGTCACAAAGGAAAAGGGTGACGAGACAACTTCACCCGACACTGTTAGTAATGTACTTTTATCTTGGGCATTTAGTTTGAAGAATGAGAGACTTCCAATTCTATAAAACATACAATGCCACAGGCATCCACAAGATGCACGTTTTTTGGCTGTCTCATGAATTAGCAATACAAATTCAGGGGTCCAAGAAAATGAAGAAATCCTATATGCTGTGATCTAAAAGGACATAGAAGTATGAGGCAGGGTGAGGCAGGGAAACAAAACTAGTAATGTTAGCAGTAAACTGACATAGTATGAGCTTTCTCCAAAAATACTCAGTTATTTATCTGTTCAACAATCAACAGGCACTAAGACAGATAGTGGAAATAAAACCCTGAACACAGTCCTTGCTTTCGAACAACTTGTTCATCTCTCCCACCTGATTGTAGCAGATAAGAGTGCTACCAACAGGGGTAAGAGTATTTCAAACTCAGAACTGCTTAGGGAAACTACAAAGAAAAGGAAAAAAAAGAATGTAGCCATAAAACACATCTTTGAGATTTTACCTAACATGCTACCAGGGTAAAACTAATCATGGGACTCAAATAGTGACAAAAGATAATGTGGACTTTGGACAAAATACCAACATCATACACTTTAATAATCCTTCTGTTTATGGTGATTCTTCAATTCCCTTTAATCAGAATATAGAAACATTCTCAGGACATTTTGCTCAGAATACAAGCAAAAAGAGAAGATGCCTTAAGCAACAATCAAAGCAGACTTCTCTTAAAACCACAGTGCCTTTTCTTTATAATTAAATATTCCCTAAGTCACAGAGGCATTAAATAGTACAAAAGCTATGCTATATATACCAAGAAACTGATCACGTTCTTTTATGGCTTTGTTTTTAGGTGGTGGTGAGGTGGAAATGTATTTCTATTATACAGGATGAACCTTCAAATCCAAAAATCCAAACTCTGAAATATTCCAAAACCCAAAACTTTCTGAGCACTGACATGAGGCTCAAAGAAATACTCACTGGAGCATTTGGGATTTTAGATTCTTAGACTGAGGATATCCAGCCAGTAAGTATATATAATACAAATATTCCAAAATCTAAAACACTTCTAGTCCCAAGCATTTCAGATAAGGGACACCCAAGCTGTACCTTTGTTGTTAGATGTTTATGCACTTACAAAACTAAAACCGAGCCTACAGACAATAAGGACAAGACAATATTTTCACTCATCTAAATAAACAATTGTTCAGGTTAGCTGGGCCTCCTAGTTTCCCTGGTAAAACCGCCTATTCAACACTACCCTGCAATTCCCAGAGCACATGTACTCACCAGCTGGCCTGCCAGCAGTGGCATATATTCAATGATGGCCAGCCGGACCCTCCACTTGGCATCTTCTGCCAGCTCCACGATGGCAGGAAGGAGGCTCTGAGAGAGCTGACGGACCCCAATCACTTCATTCACACAGTCCAAGTTAGAGATGATGTTCAAGCGCACGTCAGGACACTGCCAGTACACAGAAGACCACATGTCAGACTCCAGGCCTCACCTAGTGTTCTTCTGTCAGGATAAGGATAAAAACTGCTAGGAAATCTTAAAATGAGAAAAGATTGACTCAGGTGAGAGTACAGGAATAATTCAAAGCACAAAAACGTAAGGATCTTGAACCAGAACTTTCAATAAAAAGTTTAGAAGACGGTAAAAAGCAGAAACTCTGGAATTAAGATGCACTCGAACCCCAGATCTGCACCTGCTGAGAAACGTCAGGCAAGTTATTTCATCTCCCTGTGCCTCCGCATCCTCATCTGTAAGAAGGGAGTAAGATCTCCCTGGTCAGGCCGACGGGAGAACTACAGCTAACTACACGTACAAGGACTCAGGATCATGCCTGGTACATGGTAATCACTCAGTAAGTGTTCTCTATCATAATTTTCATGCTACAGTCCAATAAAAGAAAATTTGGGGGAGGTGGGAGGGCAATGAGGGATGAAAAATAACCTTTGGGTATACTATACACCATGTGTGTGATGGGTCCACTGAAAGCTCAGACTTCATTCACCACTATACTTTTTTCTTTTTTTTTTTTTTGAGACAGAGCCTCAAGCTGTCCCCCTGGATAGAGTGCTGTGGCATCACAGCTCACAGCAACCTCCAACTCCTGGGCTTAAGCGAGTCTCCTACCTCAGTCTCCCAAGTAGCTGGGACTACAGGCGCCCACCACAACGCCCGGCTATTTTTTGGCTGCAGCCGTCATTGTTGTTTGGCGGCCCAGGCTGGATTCGAACCCACCACTTTAGGTGTATGTGGCTGGCGTCTTAGCCACTTGAGCCACAGGCACTGAGCCCACCACTATACTATTAACAAAAAAGTTTGTAGCCCCTAAATCCACTGAAATTAAAAAAAAATTTTTTTAAAGGGGAATTTTAAAAATAAAGATACATGAGCATCAAAGGTAAGAAACCAGGAAATATGAAACAAAAATCAGGCACAGAAGATCAATAGATGTTTTTAGATTTACTTCAGTGGGTCCTCATGCCAATTTTCTGGGAAACCTGTAACCCCACACCCAAACACAGGAATTGTCACTAGCTTAAAATAAGTCATAATATTTTTATTTAAGTCTATGTTTTTGGTCCTATTGTAATCAACTCCAAATGAAAATCACATCAAACCACCGACTATCAAAAGACAACAAAATTTACAGCCAGACTCACCTCATCCTTTAACTGAGCTAAAAAAAGAGGCAGAAGATGTTCGATGGTGTTCTCCTTGCCCAAAATAGTAGACAGTCCCATAATCACAGAGGCCAGAGCTGATTTGACATGTTGATTGGTATCAGATACTAATTCCTAAAATAAAATCAAAATTAAAAGCTTTTCTTTCTTGCAAAACAGAAACTTCCATACCATTTCCTAAGAAATTCAAGACAGCATTATTTCAATACTTACTAGCTGATGATTCCTCACACCATCGGCTAGGCAACATAAACCTATGTTCTAAAGAACATTTTACAATTGTAACAGGCACTAATACATAATACATAACAATGTCATTTTAAGACATCTGCCTCATTCATCCATTGCCCACCTTTAAACTCAAAGATCTTTAAAGTACAGCAAAAAAATAAATGCACTGAACAGAGTGAACAAAATAAACTGAAGTTAGGTTTACCTTTATATAAGGCAGAATTTGATTCATAATTATGGTCTCTCTACCCTCAGTGGGCAAGTTCTCACAAAGTTCTAAAAGAGATAAATAGAAAAAAATAATGCTTTCATAGAGCCACTTAAAAAGTGCAAAATGAAGAAATTTAACAAGGTTTAGCAACAGTTGCAAGTTAAATCGTATGTTTAAAGCAAGTAAGTCCTAAGGGGTAAAATCACTCTTATTCTAAATGTGCCTTTTCTTTTCTTTCTTTCTTTTTTTTTGTCAAGACAGAGTCTCACTTTGTTGCCCTCGGTAGAGTGCCGTGGTGTCACACAGCTCACAGCAACCTCCAACTCCTGGGCGTGGGCGATTCTCTTCCCTCAGCCTCCCAAGTAGCTAGGACTACAGACACCCGCCACAATGCCCAGACATTTTTTTGTAGCAGTTTGGCCAGGGCCAGGTTTGAACCCACCACCCTCGGTATATGGGGCCAGCACCCCACCCACCAAGCCACAGGCGCCACTCTCTTTTTTTTTTTTTTAAGACAGAGTCTTACTCTGTCACCCTGGCTAGAGTACAGTGGCATTATCTTAGCTCACTGTAACCTTAAACTCCTGGGCTCAAGCAATCCTCCTGCCTTAGCCTCCTGAACAGCTGGGACTGCAGGCACAGGTCACCAATCCCAGCTAATTTTTTCTATTTTTAGTAAAGATGGGGTCTCACTCTTGCTGAGGCTCATCTTGAACTCCTAAGTTCAAGTCCTCCCACCTCAGCCTTCCAGGGTGCTAGAGGTACAGGTGTGAGCCACTGAACCTGGGCCCCTAAATGCACTTTTCCATCAATCTATGCATATTATACCACTCCTGAGCTGGGTAGAGCGCCATGGCATCATAGCTCACAGCAACCTCAAATTCTTGGGCTCAAGCAAATCTCTTGCCTCAGTCTCCCAAGTAGCTGGGACTACAGGTGCTTGCCACCACACCCAGCTAATTTTCTATTTTAAGTAGAGATGGGGTCTCCCTCTTGCTCAGGCTGGTCTCAAACTCCTGAGCTCAAGCAATCTACCTGCCACAGCTTCCCTGACTGCCAGGATTATAGGCATGAGCCACCATGCCTAGTCTGAAAAAGTACTGTTTAACATACACAAGATAAAATGGTTGTTTGATTCTAAATATAAAGGGGGCAGCTTTATGTTACAATGTTAACATTTCCACATATTAAAATCATGTCTATGTATCTGAAAAACATACAACAAAAAAAATGGAAAATTCACTGCAATGGCACGTGTTACAATATAAACTGAACTCCTTAACCTTTTACTTTGTGGGCAGCAGCTGCTCGAACTTCCGCTTCACAGTCTTTAAGTAGGTTCTGAAAGGCGGGGATGAGGTCATTCAGGGTGATTTTAGGACCCACAGCTTTCTGGAGCTAGAAAAGAATTTGTACAGGCTTTATGGTATACTAACAAAATCCTTAACAACAATACAAAATAATGCAATCTTCAGGTATATATTTTTGCCACAACACTTTACAACCAAAAGAATTATTCAGACACTTTTGGTGCAACAGCCAATCTGTTTATTTTCTTCAGTATTAATACTTAAAATGCAATAATTTTACCTCGGAAAATTTGTCAGCCACCATATAGCGAACTCGCCAAGATTTATCTTCTGCTGCTTGTCGAAGTGTAGGCATCACCAAGGCCTCGAGGTCATCCTGAGACAGTAGCTGGGCAATACTGACACAAGCTTCCACAGCTAGAAGGCGCACTGAATCCTAACGGAACAGAATTTCTCTCAGTCAGACAATATTTACTGAAAGCTGTGGGGCACTGTGTGTGGTGTGGGGTGGTGCTGCTGTGGGTGTTGTTTAAAAAAGGAGAAAAAAACCCATCACACCATATGCAGTTTTGCATCTTTATGTCCTGAAATAGCTGCTCCCTTTGCCTGGAATGGCGTGTCAAAGCTGTGAAGACAGAAATGACTTTGTCCCTAGAGTCAACAGCAAAGTAACCGCCTTGGCCAGAGCACAGGGCTTTTACTAAGAAGCAAATGAAATGGAAATATAAAGATTAAGTGAAAAAAAAAAAACAAAACGTTTAATAATGTCCTCAAAGCCTTATACTAATAGAAAGTTGAGGAATACAAATGAAAAGTATACTTGCACAAGTTATTTGGAACAGATTAGAACAAAGAGAACAGGGTAAAGGAAATCACTTAGGGGTGGCGCCTGTGGCTCAAGGAGTAGGGCGCTAGCCCCATATACTGGAGGTCATGGGTTCAAACCCAGCCCCGGACAAAAACTGCAAAAAAAAAAAAAAAAGAAAAAAGGAAATCACTTAGGAAGCTCAGTTTACAAAATACTCAGTTCAAGATGGCAATAGGCATTTGAGGCAGGAGATGATGACTCAGAAAGAAATACAAAGAACAATTAAAAGTAACAACAACAAAAACAATCAGGTAGATTTCAGTGTTGAAGATCAAGGACAGAATAAGGTTCTTTGAGGGAGCCTTATCTAGAAAAATATGGAAATTAACAATTAGAATTAGAAAAGTATGTGATTAATGAACTCAGCTTTCCAAATGTAAAAAGTACCACATGTCAAGGTGACACCTGTGTGACCTTTGAGCAAATGATAATATTAAGACAAATTAACATAAAATCAAGAACTGAGATTGTACATATATATAACTAGAAACTAAAAACACATAAACATATAAGCCCCCAGAAGAAAAAGGTCAAAAAATTTAACCCCTGGCCTCGAGCAATATTACTGCCTCCACCTCCCAAAATTCTGGGATTATAGGCACAAGCCACCATGCCTGACTAAAATCCTAGAAAGTGTGTGTGTGTGTGTGTGTGTACATATATATACACACATACACACATATATACTCAAAAAACAGATGAATGAATCCAACTTTCAAAGTATTACAAATGTTAAAAATTGTACCTCAACAATAACTGCCTAAGACACGTTCACCCCTTCATATCTGAAAGGGTAAAAGAAGACAGAACTATGTTCTGGGTAACGGATACACAAATATTTTCAGATTCCAAAAATAATGTTAAATCAAAAGATTACTACCATTTATGCCAATAAATATTTGTTAATCAATTACCTGTCTTCCAGGACTCCTGATTTTCTCCCCTACATCTGCTCCTCCTCCCTGAAGAGTCCTCATTTTAACAGTAATACCACCATCCACCCCGATGCTCAAGACAAAAATCTCTATCTTGCCTCCTCGTCTTCCCCTCACCTAATCCAACAGTGCTATGTTCTATCGACTCTACCATCCAACCCGATAGCCAGATTCTCTCCATCTTCACTATTACCACCTTAGTCCACCACCATCACCTCTTACTATTATAAAAGCCTCCTAACTGGTCTTCCTGTTCCTACTCTTACGCACCTTACAATTTAGTTTCCACTTAGAAGCCAGAATAATTTTTTTCAAAATGTAAATTACATCATGTTATACCCTTGCTCAAAATCTAGTGAAAATTCAAACTCCATTCTCTCTCTGGCCCTCTGTGATCTGGCCCCTGCCTATCTTCTCCAATCTCATCTCTTCCCAGTCTCTTTCGACCACTGTTCCAATCTTAGGGCCTTTAGCCTAGGTGTCCTCTCTCCTGGGACTTCTCTTTTCCTGGCATGCTGACACTGCAGGAAAAGGCATTGCTGGTGTTTTTCTTTTGTGTCTCAGTTTATGACACTTCTAATTAGCCAGTCTAGAGGAATGCCCTATTTTATTTATCTATTTATTTGCTTTTCTCCAAAATAGAAGCTTCATGAAACAGGGTCCTTGTATTCCTTGTTAACACTGTATCCTAGCAACACTGCCTGATCTAAAATAGGTGCTCAGCATTTTTTCAATGAATGAATAACTGTAGCTTTTCTATCAGTGGACAGAGAGAACATACATACACATACTTAAACAAAGTACTACATATTTTTTTGAGCATCAATTGCTGCTAATAGCACCCTCTCACCTACAGTCTTATCACCCCACAAATATCAAACCTATCTGATTAAGCCTATAGATCAGGGATGAGACAAACATTAGCAAAATGTAAGAGGAAGCTCGTTTTCACAGATAAATTGTTATTTTCACACAGCCATGCCCTAGGTCCATGTATTGTCTATGGATGCTTTTCTATTACAAGAACAGACTTCACCAGTGACAACAGAAACTGTCTGGCCTACACAAAAGAACTCTGCTAACGTCAGTTCTCGACCCAACTACTACTGTGCAGGAAATATAAAGGACAAAAGAAAATGTTAAACTGTACAGTAACAAATGGAATTAGCACAATCCCAAAAGAGGCTTCTAAATATGAGCTGCCCAACATGACAACCACCAGCCACATGCTGCCTCTGAGAATTGAGATGCACTTACTGCCACATGTTCAGATGAATAAAGATTGTGGGAATTCTGGGTTAAATAAACTTTATTAATTTCACCTATTTCTTTTTACTTTTGAAAGTATGGCCAGTAGAAAAATTTAATTAGTAGCTTGTATTTCTGTTGGACAGCACTTTTTTTTTTTTTTTAAACAGAGTCTCACCATGGCAACAGCCTAGCTCACAGCAACCTCAAACTCCTGGGCTCAAGCAATCCTCCTGCCTCAGCTTTCTGAGTAGCTGGGACTACAGGCACCTGCCAAAACACCTGGCTAAATTTTCTATTTTTAGTAGAGATGAGGTCTTGCTCTTGCTCTGAATGGTCTCAAACTCCTGAGCACAAGCCATCCTCCCGACTCAGCCTCTCAGAGTGCTAGGATTACAGGTGTGAGCCAAAGTGCTAGCTAAACGGCACTGTTTTAAACTATAATCTTTGCATAAAGTGAGGGGTGACCACCATAAAACTAAGAATAATGTTACTCTTATGAGAATAGAGAAGGAAGGAACTGTGTCTGGAAGGGAACTCATGCAGGGCATCTGGGGTGCTAGCTGTCAAGGTACTGTCTCCTTTCAGAGATGCAGCTACCACATAATATTACCTTACAATAATTCATTAAGTATATTTTATTTTGTGCTGTTTTCTCTGTTATTTTAATGAATTTAAAAATTATTTTGAAAGTAAGATTTGTCATCATTAGATTTATAATCAGAAAATGAGACTCGTCAATGTGGACTCATGGTTCTGTACACATGGAAAGATCCCAGGTACCTGGTAAATAAAATAGAGTCCAGGAACTCTTAGGGCTGATCTTTCTAAGTACCATTACAGAAAGGCAGTACAGCCTAGCTGTGAAGGGCATGAATTCTGGAGCCAAAGTGCCTAGATTCAAATCCCACCTCTGCACTAACTATGCAACCTTTAACAAGTTATTTGTGTGCCTCTGTTTCCTAATATGTAAAAGTGCGTACCCATCTCATGTGGCTGCTATGAAGAATGAATTATTTAACACACATAGCAACTTAAAACAGGATGAGAAATATTGAACAGTTTATTCAGGTGTTTGCTATTTTTATTATTTCTAAAACCAAAGAGAGCTTAGTTCCTTGGATTTAAAACTGATATTATGCAAGGTCCTCTTACACACTAGTACAGAGGAAGCAGTGGGTCAAATAGCCTTCCTAACACATTCTATGGTTATTTTACAGTTAAAAATACCAGGCAATATTATTCCTCTGTATTACAATACAGCCAACAGTTCCCTAATCTACCTCTCGATGTAATTTAGTCTTCCTAATTATGGCTCCCCATTTGTCTCTGACTCCCCATTCTTTTAAACAGCTGCTAATGTAAGAGAGAAAATCATGGTCTGGCTAAGAAATATAAGAACACTAAGATGAGTCATGTTACACTTTATCCAGGTCAGAATTAAGTACTAATTTTACAAAAAGGATCCTAACATCTGAACCAAACCTCCTCAACATTTAAAAAATTAAATTTAAAGAAATAAGCAATTCCTAAAATTTGGAAGAGAGCAGCATGTCTGTGTCCCTTAAATACTAAGGGTAAATTTACCTGTTCATCTGAAGCTAGATTAGTGAAGAGTGGAACAATTTCACTTTTCACACTGTCTAATTCCAAAACTTTTGCAAATTCACCCAACTTGGAAGCAGCAGCACGACGCACCATTGGAGTGTCATCTGAGCACAAGGAACGGAAATGCCTGCAGCGTAAAAAAAACAATGAAGATATTTCCTATCAAATACCACAATTAAACCTGCCCCAACACAAATAAACACTGTACAGGTTTTCTCCTACGGCAGTGACTCAGCTTCTACTCACACAAGTAATGAAAATAAAGCATTGGCATATTCAATCAGATGATTAAAAAATGATGGCATCAATGTTATTATCCTGGCATCAATGGTAACAGGGCGCTGTGTAAGTGTGAGCTATGAGTCCCCAATAATCCCAAATAACCTTTTCAAAAAAGAAAAAAAAACTATCTTACTGTCTAATTTCTGCTTTGACAGCATTTGAGGCTCTGGGATAACAAACGCTGAACAAACCGCATGCAGATGTGCGGGAAGTGAACCAGTCTCCGCTCGCCAGGCGCTTCACCAGCGGGACGAAGTGAGCCTCCAGAGCAATAGGCGTGTGCTCCTGGGAGATCTGCCTCAGGGACTCCACCGCCTTGTCTCGAACAACCGTCTCTTCCACAGTTGCCAGACTTTCCAAAGGAGGCTGAATAGATCAAAAAGGAAAAACCACACAGAAGAAGTTGCTGAATTAGGTTAGATACAGATTATCACTTTCTAAAGTGACGGAAGGGAGGCGGTATGTAACCAGAATGCTAGCTACACCATACCAAATGGTTACTTTCAGTTCCCACAGTGATAACATACGGTACAGCCAACCTGAAGACACGACTTCTGTAGAAAAGCCAAGATCTCGTGTCCCAGATGGCAATTCCCAGATGGTGTCTACAAATGACATAGTGGAAGAGACTTGACACAATATTAATATTATTGTGAGCTGAATCACTAGGTTTGAAAGATACAAAGCCAAATTCAGGCAGGATCATGTGTATTTCCTCAAGATTAAGTGCGAAAATATGATCAACATTAAAGTACCACAGTTACAGCAACACTCAAAAGGCTGTGAGGTCCCTGAGTCCACGGCCTTTTGAGTATTATTCTACTATTCCCAGACATGCAAGCAACCCTTCTCCGCCAGCTCCACACCATAAATTTATTTAACTGGGTGATGCCTGTGGCTCAGTGGGTAGAGCGCCAGCCCCATATACTGAAGGTGGCAGGTTAAAACCCGACCCCAGCCAAACTGCAATGAATAGTAGGGGTTTTGGCGGGTACCTATAGTCCCAGCTACTGGGAGGCTGAGGCAAGAGAAATTGCCTAAACCTGGGAGTTAGAGGTTGCTGTGAGCTGTGACACCATGGCACTCTACCGTGGGCAACAAAGTGAGACTGTCTCAAAGAATAAAAATAAATAAATTTATCTAACTTATAAATAATTGAGTACAAAGTCGTTTTTGTTTTTTTTTTTCCAGGATACATTCAGAATCTTCTCATGAGCCACAGAGCTGGAATTTTTGCAGCACAATCAGATGAGGAGTACAGAGATGGTAGGAGAACTTGCCTGCAGCTTTAGAAAGAAAAGAGATCAAAGGGGCTGATGGTCTGGAGTAGGACTGAATATGACTCAGCCCAGTAAAAAGTGAAAACAGGCTGGTTCCATGAACCTCTACCTTACTGGGTTTGCAGTTGGGACTGGTAGATTCGGCACATGCCAAGAGCTGGAGATGTTACACATAAAACATAAAACCCACATGCAGAACTGACCAACAGAATGAAAAAGAAGACAATGGGTCAAAGGAAATAAGGGTGTCTGCCTAACAGGATATCTTAAATGATTTGATACACAGAGCCAGGCAGTACTCAGTTTTACTACGGTGTATTTCAGAAGCCAATTGAAAAGAAATTGCTCCTTATTTGCCAAGGCCTTTCAAGATTTCTCCCCTGCCTACCACGACCTCCCATCACAGAGAGCCACTGAATAATCTCTGTCAATACCAGAGTAAGCTCCTGAGAATCACCACTGAGCTGTCCCTTGTGTTGAGCTCCACCCAATTCTTCAATGCCCTTGTCCTACTGGCCCTTGGTGACCACTCCTGCCTATTCCAGCCAACACTTTACACTCCACCCCAACAGGCTTCCTGCTTCACTCTTTCAATAAATGATTATTGTTATATTCTAGCACTGTGGATACAGAAGAAACAAAGCAGACATGGTTCCTGGCCTTAATGGCATTTATATTCTATTGGATGAGGACAAGGATCAGTCGAGAAAAGAAGCAGATGGTTATCAGTACTCTGTAGAAAAATAAAATAGGATGTGATAAGGGGTGACTGGGAAGCTATTTCAAGCTGAGTGGTCATGGACCATCTCTCTGAGGAGATGCATTGGAGTTGAAATCTAAATGACAAAGAGTGAGCCCAAGAGCATTCTATCAGAGGGAAGACCTAGAGCAAAGATCTTAGGGAATGACGACTTTGGTTCATTCAAAGAGCACAAAGATGACCAACACTGAGTGGATGAGATTATGAAGAGGGAGCACCACACACTGTAAGCCTACAGAAGTGGGTCATGATAGGTCTTGCACAGAGTTTGGATTTTCTAAGAGCCATGGCAGGGAGTGGTCTACCTGCTGGGTGAAGAGTGAACTGCAGGGGTGGGGTGCAAGGCAAAAGGGGAAGGCAACTAGTTAGGAAGCTACTGCAGTCATCTACAGAAAAGATGGTGGTGGTCTGGACTATGGTGGCAGTAGGAAGGATGAAAGAAAGTGCACTGATTTGAATATAGGCAGACTCCATGGGAGTTACTAATGGATTAGATGTGGGAACAAGGTAAAGAGGATTCAATACCTTCTAGGCCGGGCGCAGCGGCTCTCACCTGTATCCTAGCACTCTAGCAGGCTGAGGTGGGTGGACCACCTGAGCTCAGTAGTTCCAGACCAGCCTGAGCAAGAGTGGGACCCCATCCTTCCTAAAAATAGAAAAACTAGCCAGACGTTGTGGCAGGTGCCTGTAGTCCCAGCTACTGGGGAGGCTGAGGGAACAGAGTCACTGTTTGAGGTTGCTGTGAGCTGCGACGCCACAGCACTCTACCAAGGGCAACAAAGTGAGACTCTGTCTCAAAAAAAAAAAAAAAAAAAAAACCTCCTAGGTTTTAAATTTAGTTTGTGTACCTAGGTACCTGACGGTGATACAACTGGGTAGAAGGAGACGGAGCAACAAGATAAGAGGCATCTTTGGGGGAGAAAATTGAGTTCTGTTTTAAGTATGTTAAATTTGAAATAACTGCTTGGCATCCAAGTAAAAAAATCGTAGGCAGATATACACAAACATATACATATCTAAATCTATCTCTACAATCTACCAATTTATCCGTGGAGTTCCAAGGAAAATCAGAGGTAGAGCTAGGAATCACAAGAGTCAGCATCACATAAATACATTTAAAGCCCTGAAGCAAATATCCCTACCTTGTCCAACTACTGATTCCTAGTTATTATTTAAAACCTAGTTCAGGTCATCTCTCAAGCGGTCTTCCCTGAGCACCCTAAGTTTAATCTCTTTCTCCTATTATTTGCGTAATTTATAGTTGTTCCTATTTTTTCCATTTAAGCCTGTACAGAAATTATTTGCTGACACACAAAGACAAGACAGCTCATTCCATTCACCATTAACACTGTTAACTTACTATCTGCCTGATATACTAGACTCTCAATAAATGTCCACAAAAATTGAACTCAACTCACCAAACTCACAAAGCCAGAAGCAAAACTTACGTTAACAATTAACGACCAGACATTCCTAGGTGAGAATTAAGACTTCCAATGTCAGAAAAAAAATTGTAGTTATCAAATCCCTTTTTCTCTCAACCTCTAAACTAGTAGGTCTACAGAGGCAGAAAAAAATGAAGGTGTTCTTTTATTTATAGTTAGAAAAATAAGAAAGGTTGAGTCCAAAGTACCTACATTTCTTATTTTCTCATGACTCATATTATGACTATCTGCCCGTAAAAAGATCTGTATAAAAATGCTGCTGTGTGCCTATCACCAAACAATGTATCATTTATATTGCAAAAGTTCTGGAAGGAGGGTAGGCACATACAAATACTCACCAGCAGACAGTGGGCAAAGTCAGGACCTCCCACCAGGCCAGTAAAGTTTCCCAGCTGCTCAGCAAGGGCTAACAGTACCTCATCTTCATCATAAATTGTATCTGGAAATGACATCAACCAAGTACTCATCAATAAGTATAGACGGCCCAGAGCTGGACACTCACAAAACTAGGAAGCCAGTAAGATGGCCCGGTCAGAATCCTAACAGCATTTTCTTTCTTCTCTTCAATCAACAGTCTTCCTGAATCTGTTTTACTGAATGAATTAAAAAGTCGTGCTCCCAGTTATCAGTTCATGTTTAAATATTTCTGGCCACAGCCTTACAATGTGTTTTATTCGGTTTCTTCTGCACACAAAGCACCTAGCTCAGTTTAGTACTTAATGAAACTGGGGGTAACGAAGTTTTGAAAGACACTGGAAAATGGAATGTCCATATCTTTCTTTAAACAAAGATTCACAAACCTGTGAGGAATGGCAGCAGTTCAGTTCTCGTCCTTTCTACTCCAAGTGCTAGAGCAATTGTTGATAATTTCTTAATACTGTTAAGTCGGAGCTTTAAAAAAGATAGTAGAAAGAACAAAGTAAAGAAATGGTTGCAATTTAGACAGAAGCCAAACAAGTGAAATCATGAAACACAGATAAAGGACAACCTTTCATTTAGATTTTATTCGTAAGGAACCTCATAAGGACCTCAGGGGTGGTACAACTCAGCCTCATTAGCCAGAGGAAGTTTTCCCAGGAGAAATACTCAAAAGGGCTCAGAAGAGAATGAATGAAAGAGTATACATGACTCAGAAAGTAATATAATTTTTAAACAGAAAAAAACTTTGGCCACGGTGAAGCAGGTGAAATGGCTGAATATAACTCCTGCCGGTTCAAAGAAATGTTCCATCGGAGCTGATACACCGACCCCATCTAGGTAAATCAGCCATCCCGCTCTCTTTCCACCCAGGAAGCCCAGCCAGTTTCCAAGCCTAGATGAAGGCACTGGGCTGCAGGGCTAAGGGCCCCCTGGCACCCTGCGAGCCGCAGCTCGCTCCAAGCCCCTCGCGGCCGGCACCGCGCTCCTCCCGCTCCCGGTTCAGCCCGCAGGACTGACGGACGGCCGCCCGGAAGGAGCGCCCCGGTGGGAAGCCGGTTCCCAGACGCCCAACCGGGCGCCCGGACGACGCCTCAGGGGATCGGGAGGAGGGGCGCCGGAGAGGTCCCGGGAGGGTCGGGCGTGCCACAAAAGCCCCTCAGAAGTCTTTCCTCGCCCCCCGCTTCAAGTTTCTGCTGCGAGTTCGGCTGGTTCAATCCCCGAGCCTCCCCCACCGCGTCTCTGGCCTTCCCTCTTCCCTACCACGCGCCCGGCCAGGCCCTCCTCGACTTCTCGGCCTCAGTCCGGTACCTGCACGTCCTCATTGCGGAGCTCGTCGATTAAAACCGCGATCGGGTATAGCGAATCGTCCCCATCTCCGCCCGCTGCCGCCGGGCCGGCCCCGGGCCCCGCCGCACCCGCCATGTTCTTCCTCTTCCCGCCGGTCGCCGCCGCCCGCTCAGGGCCCAGGCCCCGCCCCGCGCCCAGGCCCCGCCCCGCGCTTGGGGATTTGGGGCTGAGGCCAGCGCGCCGGCGGGGTGGAGGCCGGGGAGCCCGAGGTTGGCCTAGCTTATGGAGGAACCCTGCCGACTCCCACCGCCAGAGTTGCGGGTCCGAACTCCAGAGGCAGGGTGGGCTGAGAAAGCGAATGGGACCCCCGTGTCCTTTCCCCAGCCGAAGGAAACAGGGGCAGGGATTCATCCTCGTTGCGTTCTCAAGGGGCCGGGGACCCACCTGGGTGAGCCGTGCTGTGCCCTCTTAGGACTCAGGCCGGCTGAAGCTGGTGCCCAAAGCCAGGAAGAAAAAGGCTTTAGCACCTCCCCTGACTTCATTCATCCTGACCCTGAACCACTGTGTTTCCAGCCCTGATTTCTCCATTCAGCCTCAAGCTTCCACACAACCCCTCCACTTCTTCCTTAGGCCTGTTCTCCAGGATTGTATCTGGCTCCTGCTCCCTTAAGACAAATAACGCGGGCGGTGAGAGAAAATGAACAGTGCTGTCCAAACTCCCCAGTCAATATTTTTTCCACGCAAGCTGTTAAAAACATGCTGCTCTCTTGTTTTTGTTTCTTTTCAGTTTGGTACTGGAATGGTGCCTTCTGTTGTATTTTCTTCCTCCCATTTTTTAGCTCTTTAGCATGCCACAAGTACAACAATGAAACAAAACTAGGACAAGCTTTAGTCCTTCCAAACTGGGTGGAGTGGCTACCTTGCTTGTACAAGAAAGCCTAAACTGGCCTCCCTAGACCTCCATTAGTCCTCAAAGGCAGCTGTGCAAGAAGGTGGAGGTCTGGGAGTTCTTTCTTACAAAACTGAATGGAAAGTTTTTACTTACTCTGGTTCGGGCTGCAAAGAAAAACTAGAATGTCCTTTCTTGTGTTTGTTTTGGACTGGAAGTTAAGTAACTTCGAATAATAACTACATATGATGATCCCAAGCTCTCAAGTAGGAATTCTATGTGTGTGATTAATAAAAAGTAAAATTATCAATAAATGCAATTTAGGAAACCGACATTTTAAAAAATTTGAGGTTCTTGGTAGTGAGAATGGTAGATAGAACCACTGGTAGTAATGAACGTTTGGGACCCAATAGACCTGAACAGTTTTTCTCAAATTAGGTCTGCAGATGCATCCTCTAGGGTTTTAATTTTGTTATTTTCTTTTTTAGATTTGCATAAACATTCTGGATATTTGACCACTTTACAACTCAGTATTGGGTGGTGCCTGTGGCTCAGTGAGTAGGGCTCTGGATCCATATACCAAGGGTGGTAAGTTCAAACCTAACCTCAGCCGAACTGCAGCAACAACAAAAATAGCTCGGTACCATTTAGTTTCACCACCTTCATTTGCATGTGTGTTTCAGTGCTGTTTTTATTGTTTTGAAATAATGAGAAAAGTTTTAAAATAATGATGCTTTCATACACAGAATGAAAGCCAAATGACATCATGGGATTGCACTAAGTAGTGAGAAATCAATGAGAAAATTAAGATATCATAGGTCACTTGGTACATAGGTATATAAAACTCAAAAGAAGCTGAGCTTTGGCAGGCAATACCATATAGTCACAGTACAAGGGATAATTTGGTTACAGCAAAATACATCATTTGCTATGACAAATTACTCTAGTCCTATTAACTTGAATAGTATTAGTTGTGCGGTTTCATTTGTATTTAATTTTGTAAGTTTTTTTTTGAGCTGTGTAAGAGTTATAAATAAAAAATGTTATATTCGTAGTTCATATTTGTAAATTTAAGTAACATAATAAAAATCATTTACGGTGACTGAGAGTTTTCAGTATTTTTTATTTCTTTAAAAATGGACCCACATGCCACCCAAGTTTAAGAGAGAATGTTAGGAGGTTTTCAATTCAGTACTTTACCAATTAGACTGTCAGATAGGGTTCCTTTTGGCATGCGGAGGAGAAATCTTTCCCCGTATACTCTATGTAAAATGTCTTCAGAAATGATCAAGGAAGCAAGGCAGAGAGAAGTAGATTAAGTCAGTTCCACACATAGTATCATCTAGATACTGACTTAAACTCAGGAGAGCCTCAATATGCTAACAAAATCTGGGACACTGATGCTAAACTGTTTCGTTTAAAACTCAAATATGCTTTGTTTACTCAAGCACAGTGAATTGGAGGTCGAAGGAATAACTATGATTAAATATGAAATAACAAGCTAAGAATGCCTGGCTCTGGAGTCACCCATTCTGGACTTGAAGTCCCGTCTCTGTTTCTGATTCATCATGGCCTACCTCTTCCTATGCTTCTGTCCCACCTTTCACCCCCTTGCCCCCAATAAAATGGAGCTAATCATCTCTGGTTCCTGCTGGAGTTACTGTGATGCTGTGAGAATGAAACTAGGTAATAAACACGAAGATGCTAATAAATCCTTCAATAAAGAAAGTGATTAAAACAGACTGCCGAGGAAAGAGGCTATTTCAAAAACTGGGCCAAACTGTAAGGCTGACCATCTGAATCACCTAAGCTTCTAAACTGCCTATTAAAAATGCAGATTACTAGCCTTCAACCCAGACCTAAGAATGGGACCAGACATTTTATGGTACCCACTAGGTGTTTCTAATGTGCTTTGACATTTGAAAGTCATTGATTTAAAAAGTTCATCAGGAAAAAGCACCTGCTTAGGTAGAGTCTAAAAAGTTTTCAGAAGCCATCTCTGTCCAGAAAAATCAAGTGACAGCTATAACTGCTTATTGATGGTACTTGATCCTGTCTCTATATTTTGTGGGTTTTGCCAGATTAAAAAGGTGATCCCTCTTTTGCTGGATTTCTGGAAGTTGGCCAAGCACCCGCAATGCAGCGCCCTGGCGTTGAGCTATTTCCATCTCCTCCTCTGCCCTTTACTGCTCCCTCAGGCCTCCTCTCCACTTCCCACACACACCACAAGAAATTAATAACCAGGGAACTGCTGGAGGCAACAGCTGAGATTAGATTGAGGATTTAAGGCAGCCCTTAGGAAACAACCTGACATTCTCAGCACAAAAGCACTGAGTTCTGACTCCCACATGCCGTTCACTCATCCAGTGTGAATCAAGGGAAGATTGGGTTCAACTTGCCCAGTTCCTTTAAGACAAAGCATCAAGAATATGGGGAATGATAGGCAGATGGGATCAGCTTGTAACAGCTCTCAGTGGCAAGTCAGAAAAGGGTAGTCCTGAGGAAGTCCCGATGCCATCACCGTCATTATCCTGGCCCTTTGCCTCCCGTTTAATACAGAGCTTTACAAATAGGTACTTGTTCAAATGCTGATCTGCTCCTGAGTCACCCACTGCAGACAGAAGGCCTGCACAGAGCTGTAGGTGAGTCTCAAGGCAGACCTGGATTGTTGTCCCACAGAAAGCGCCATCAGGAGGTAGATGGCCCAGTTCATTCACAGAAAACCTGAAGCATGCATAGACATTTTCCAGCTATCTTTATTTAGCAAGGTGACCTAGTAAACCGATTCCCAAGTCTTTACTTATTTCATTGCAAAGTAGCAATTATTACCAGAGCATGAATGATTTTTATATTTATGCAAAGACTGTCATCATTCTGTGGAACTCAAATATTTTCCCCCCAATTTCACCTCAATATTTGTGCCCTCTTACCCTTCTCTGTTTTCTTTGTGGCAAATTTTTAATCCCATTTTAATCTCAACTTTAGGGAGGGAAAGAGACTCTACCTAAAGCCACACAATAAATCAGAAGCAGCTGCAGAACTCATAATCGGGGATTACCCCCAACTCCATTTAACAGCTTATTATTATATATATATAAAAGGTATTGGATTACCAAGGTAAAACTTAGCTTGAATTCTCAGAAAGACCAAATCAAAGAAATAGAACAGTCAGTCCTGGTTCATAAGTTTGTACAAGAGTTAAGAGAGTATGCTCTGGAGTCAGGAAGATGTAGATTGAAATCCCACTGCCACCAATTACTAGCTGTGTGACCTTGGGCAAATAACTTATCCTCTCTAAATCTTGGTTTCTACCTCTGTAGAGTGGGGCTGTCAAGCTTACCTCATGGGGTTGTTATGAAGATTAAATAATTCATATGAAGTACTTAGTTAGTGCCTGGCAAAAGACAGCCCTCAAATGTTAGCCAGGGTGGTTACTATCTACTGAGGAAGTAGAAGCAGGTAGGAAAACATCCCAATCAATGAGCTTCGGCAACAGAGAGGACCCGCAGGGAAGAATAAAGGCGTGCGTGACTTAGAGCCAGAAGACCCAACTCCAGAAGATTTTTTTCCACTGGTTTTTACCTCTTAAATTTTTTCCCACTGGTTTTATCTCTTAGAGTTGTCATGAGTTCTGATCCACATTGTAAAGTGCTTTGTTCACAGAAAGTACTATGCGAATGTTAGAAGTTGTGTTATTATTGAGGGCTCAATGAAGCTGGTGTCCAGGCCAAACACAAAAAGAGAACATCTGAAGATCTACACTCAAGGTGTGCGGACCGCCAGTTCCCTGAGAACAGCAGTCAGAATTAATACCTCCCCAAGCAAACCTGAAGATCAAACAGGCAGGGTGACTTTTCTCCAAAGTCTGAGGCCTTTGAGTCTCATAATGGGCTCTAATGTTCTCAGGAGAGAAGCCCTGGTTATCTTGCCAGATGCTATACGCCACTCAACAAAAACCTTTTGTTACAGTGTTAAGTGAAAGGCAAGGTACCTAGTGTTATTAAGATTTCAGGTGTATGTTAAGTTGAAAATGTTCATTAATAATAGATTATTTCTAAATGGCTAATATTAAAATTATCTTTAAATTTTTTTAAAGGGCCAGAACAGTGTGTATAGTACTGTACCATTTGTGTAAAATACAATGCACACACCTGTGCTTATATAATACTATATATGTATAAAAAAAATCTCAGGGCTCGGCACCCATAGCTCAGTGATTAGGGTGCCAGCCACGTACACCAGAGCTAGCAGGTTCTAACCTGGCCCGGGCCTGCTAAACATCAATGATCTACAACAAAAAAATAGCCAGGTG